GGGTTGGGAACAGTCACTGCTCGTGGCTATCATGTTTCGAAGCCAGTTCTTTTAGTTCTCAGGGAAGGCAAGAAGCTGTTGGTTTGGACATGCTTCAAGTCTTGAGGGTGCACCTGTGAGTGCAGACGGAGTGACGGAGTCATATTCGCTCTGCATATCGTCACTTCATCCTTGATCTAAAAGTAAATGGGTACGGGTCAAGACTGGGTCCTCCAAGAAGAATCCGATAGTCAATAAGACATGCGGAAAAGAAAATTCTGGCGAAACAGATGTTGACCCATCCCCACAATTCCCACAGGGATGGACAAACCCACAGCCCATCTGTAGTCCCCGGAGCCGCGGGCATAGAAAATGGGCTTATATCGCAACAGCTGCTCCAGTTGTATCAATCAAAACAGGTTGCAGAAAGTTCCCACTTTTAATGGGACAAATCATTCAAACATGTGAAGTGTTCTTTCATGTGTATATATATATATATACACACCAGGTTTGCTTGCCAGACAGTAAGCTGAAATTAAGATCATGTACTGTCTATAGTTTTGAAAGCACCACTGGAACGCTGTTTGCGTGTCACATCTATCTGCGCACTGTGCCAGAGGGCCTGGGTAGCCACTGTAAAGGCACTTCCGCAGGGAGGCTCACTTCTGTCCAGCTCCGTCCTTGACATCGGCAGCTCCATCACCATCCCCACCTGCGGCACTGTTTCCGAGGGGATTCTGCTCGTCTGCCTCAGCAGCTGCAGGGATGCCACCAATGCCATCCCTATTAGGATTCACCATGACTGGTGCTGGCGGCTGACGGTGGATGCCCACAACTGGAGCCGACCGCAACCTGTCGCCATACTTCTCTAAGAGACGGCGGGAAGGAATGCTAAGGCCAAGGGCATGAAAGAGACGCAGGTCTCCCATGGCGGATGATGATCTGAACAAGAAGCTAGCCGAAGATGGGAAGGGCCGAGATTGCTTGCGACACCAAGAATCTGCATGATCATCCCAGTGTTGCAGCAGAACGTGTTTATAATCATAGTTGCAAGTCTCTCATCATTGTTGCTTATTCTCGCCAAACATTCTTGACATTTCTGGACTAAAACTTCAACTTATTGGTTTGTGGAATCCGCCGTTTTTGGGCTGGTGCACCTTGCCAACACTGCTTGCTCATCTCTACCCCCATCCCTGTCGCTTCCCCAATGGCTTCATCGACACAGGTCACAGACCAACCAATTGTGATACGCGCAGAGCCCGAAGGTGAACCAAACAATGCCTGGCGCAGCCGGGGCGCAGCTTGGCGACGCTTGGCTTCGCGGCTGGAGCCAAAATCACCATTTTCCGATGGGTCAAGGGGAGATCGACTTGAAAACATGTGGCTTTCACATGTCGTAAATCTCGGAGGATCCTAGAAAATTCCCATCCAATTCTCTGAACAGCACGAGTTGCCCGTGGGAACTATAAAAAACATATGGAAAATCAATGATTTCGGAAACGGTCTATAACTGGTAGAGTTGTCCAATATCTATCTTGACTTACTGCAGGGCAAAACACATTGATCCCCTTGACCCACCATTTTTTCCAGTCCCAACTGCCCCTTCGGCCTTAAATATGTTGGTGTCTGAAAATGTCGGGCACCCAATAAGAAAAATATCAAACCATGTTGCTTTCAACATCTTCTAACTCTCCTGAAAAACATGCTGGCCGTGTGGGATCATAAACCAGAAGATCCTTAAGTGACATGAGCCATGAAAAATACCCCCCCTTTCCCCATCCCATTAGACTAGTAGATGTGTATCCCCATGATGGGTTTGAATGATCCCCAATATATAAACCAGTTTGTATAACCCCCTACATTGACCAATCAACCAGGGGTATGTTTAGTGGCTCAGATGGTCCGGTCAGCTTCGCCAGCTTTCGAGGTTCCTTGATATGCTGTCAATCTACAGGGGTCGTTGGCGATGATCCACATAAACTGACTGGTTCAACCATCCTATCTCCTCCAAAATCTGTATCCTCTGGTAATTCAACAGTTTGCCATGATTTGCAGATGATTTACTCATTCAAAATTATGATTTTCTTCTATATAATGTTTGATTTACTTCAATTGTGTTCGTTGCCCCATCAAATCCATTCATCCCCATGCCACGAACCTAGAGCATAGATGGACAGAACTGCTGCCATAGCTTCTCTAAGCAGTGCCTGGCACTTTTTCTTCCGAAATCGGCAGGCACGGGTCTTGGTCTACTCAGGATCCAAAACACATGTAACTTGCTTTCCTAAAATGGGATTACCCCCAGTCATCATCCATTTTAATAGGATTATCCACTCTAAACCATCCAGCGATTGGGGATCCCCCATTCCCAGCATAACACCTGGCCGAAAGCATCGCCCGCACCGATCTGAAGCTCCTCACCAATCTCGGAGGCACCTCAGCTCCGGACCAACGATATATGTATATGGATATATTATATGTATATATATATATATGTATATATATATGTCCATATAAATGATGGAATAATACATAATGAATATTAATATGGAATTATGCGGTTTTTCCCACAAAGATGACCACTAACTTGGATGATAAGTTGTGCCCCAATTTAGGGAACCTCTCATATATAAACCTTGTAGCTGAAGTAAAAGCACCAAGCTGTCATAGTATATTATAATTCAATTGCTCTTAAATCAGTTGGATAACAACATTGGGTTTCGCATTTTAGGAGATCCTCAAGTGATGATGAATGAAATTTACCAAGCTGTGATAGAGCCACTTCGGCGAGGTTCCCATATTTATTTATGTATATATATATGGTCCCGTGTCCCGTGTTCCCACCCCCCCCCCCATGGGATGGGGGGGGGTATGATGCCCCTGTGGTGGTGTATATACATACATACATACCTACATACCTACCTACCTACCTACATACCTACGTACATACATACATACATACCATTACATTACCTTACCTTACATTACCTTACCTTACCTTACATTACCTTACCTTACCTTACATTCCATACATACATACATACATACATACCAACACAGACAACATTACATACAGACAGACATACATACAGACAGACATACATACAACATTACATACATACATACATACATACATACATGCCATCCATCCATCCATCCATCCATACATACATACATACCACCATACATACTACATCCCAGCATACATACATACCAGCATACCAACATACCAACATACCAACATACCACCACCACAGGCCACAGGGGGGGGACCAGAAGAACCAGACGATACTGTCCACCCATACCCATTGGTGGGGGGGGGAGGGGGGGTGGCCAACGCTGCACCATATATACATAGTAGACCATGATTTACATGCTGCTTCCTCAGTTGAGGGCATTACAATTCAGCGGCCAGCGGGATTACATATCCCTATTTGGACCCCTTTTGCAGCTCCGTTTCTTCCAACAAAAAAAGACATGGGAGAGTTCTAAGATGGGATGGAAGATTCCTCATAGCCACATGTGCACTAGTCAGATCATTGGTGGGGTGACATCCTCCCAATCCAATCGATAGTAGCTGTCCGCAAACTGCTTAGACCCGAAAAGATGAGTCCAAGAACCAAAAAGGTCCCCCAATTATATATTATGTATATATATATATCCCAAGGTTCTGATCGAAAGATCCTACCCGACACGGCACGGATCGCCAGTTGTGCAACGGCCGTGGCTAAGACCAAGATGTTGAGAGCACCGGTGGTTGAGACGAAGCCGTAGAAGAGGCGATAATTTCCTGCGCGGGGCAAAACGTAGGAAGGGTGGGAAGGGGACATGAGGTGTGCGTATGCACGTATCACATATATATATATATAATATGTATCTATGCGAATATGTAAATCTGTACATATGTATATACATATAATCATTTACATGTGTATATATTTACACATAAATACATAGTTTGATCCAACCAAAAGATATGTCTCATTTCACAAAAAAAAATGTATAGGACCGACGATCACTGTCCGCAAGTTGTGGAAGTCTTTGATTTCATCAACAAGTTTGCAACATGCACAGGGCCAAGTGCCGTTTCCAAGGCTGAAATCTGAATGCCGCTCAACATCCAAAGATCATCAAATTAATCGTTCATCCACTTCCAAAAGAACCATCCTTTCAGGATTTTCAACTATCAACTATCAGTTCTGCCAACGAAATCTTCACAACACCTGTGGGCATCTCCCGAACTTCTTGTCCAAGCAGCTCTTGCCAATGCAATTGCCCAACCACGGACAGTGATGGTCAAATCGCTCAACGCAATTCTCGCAAACCGAGCAATGAGTACACCGCGGTGGCCGGTAGATGTTACCTTTGCAGTGGCCATGGGTCTGGCCTGGAGCTTCCAACATGACAGCCAGGAAGTTCAGGTACCAAGAAAGACATAGAAATGAGGGCATACAATTGATGTGGTGCCCCAGAGTTAGGTAACTTGATCTATGACTTTAAACTACCAACGGTAGTTGGTTTATGGATGATATATCGAACTAACATGCACTAAGTAGTTAACTGGATAAACATAAACCAACAGTTACTAACTTGGGTGCACCGCCTGGCTGGAATACCAACAAATACATCCAAATGACATTGGGGCTGCGTGGCAACATGATCCTCTCCATTTCTGGCCAAGGATCAAGTCTTGCAGTACTTCAATTTTAACCTCGGCAGAAATCAAACAAAAGGAGTCTTAAAATGCGGGACCCCCAATTCCCATTTGAACAAGCCCAATTGCGGATAAACCCAAATCTGCTCCTGGCCACGTATGACTATCCAGAGTCTGGCAAACTCCATTTTTTCCTCTGTCTTGCTAAACATAAGACCACGCGTCGGCGTAGACACTCAATGAAAAATAGTTGGCAAGGTGGTACATCCAACAATAGACCACTCCTGATTCTTCCGTTTCACAAACCGGAAAAAAATGAAGGTTTATTGCTGGAATCTAGCACACATAACAACTCTAGGTGTTTTTGTTATACACAGCTTCCTCCTGAGTCAAGTGGCGGATGCCCACGCAGCAGCACATCGTAAAAACGCTGCGGTTCACGCGTGCGCCACACCTGGGAGCACCAGGAATGTGTTGAGAATCGAGATGAAACCTCTCCAAATCTCTTAATGTTCAAAGGGTGGAATAAGGGATTCCGCCGACAACCTTTTAGGAGACCTTTTCCACCTATTGGAACAGCCATAGCAGGTGAACCAGAAAAATCCCACCGGCGCAGGGATCTTTGAATGTTCCCCCTGCAATGGCCTATCGCTACTAGGTCACGATAGGGGGCCCAGGTCTGAGGCTCTGACCAATGTTCAATACCCCAATTCTGCAACTGAATCTTCCATCAATCTTGTGGGCACAATTGTCATATAAGCCTCCATACTTGCTCCCTAATGACAAAAACAAATGTCAACCCTGCTTCAGTACTGGATCTGTTAATATGTATGTATATACGTATTATTATCTACATATATATATATATATATACATATGTATGCCATTATATACCTAATATCTTGAGGTCCCATGGCAACATGGGTCAGTTCGCACCTTGGCGCGTTCGTCATAGTGCTCGGTGAAATCCTTCTGTCGTGGCATGATCCCAGGATCCGACAGGGCCTCGAGGATGAAATGAATGACATGGAGGTTTCCTAAGTCATGGGGGTAACCCTAGTTATCATCCATTTTAGTAGGATGGTATTTTCCATGAAATAAACCATTGGGGTATCCCGGGTATCCCCTTTTTAGGACACCCAAAAAATGTGTGGCCAAAAATGGAAGGTGAAGGATTTTCGAATGAACGGAGGTCGTTTCAGGACCCAGGCAGCAAAATCCTGGATTCACTCATTCAAGGGCTTTCATGTACGATGGTGAAAATTGCATGAAGCGAAACAGTACCACTCTTTTCCTCTCAAAAGACCACAGCTTCTCTTGCCCCCATCACCACCAATCTCGCAGACATGAAACCAAGCCAGACCGCCTATTTCTCCTGGTTAGACCCGCATGTTCAACCAATTGTTCAAAAGAAATCCCCCACCGCAGACTCTGACTGCCGGGCCGTGGCCAAAAGGAGATAAATAGAGCTCACCTTGCACAAATAAATACAATGGATGGATAGACAGATTTCATCAGATTTCTAGATTCCCAAACCCCAGAAATGTGACAGGGCCATATTTAGCAGTGACCTTCCAATTGTTTTCAGGCTTTGACCTATATATGCGCATATAAGCTATGGTCAAAACATTGTGGGTTATTGTCATCACACCATGATTTGGAATCCTTAGATCGGCCACTATGATTCCCGGAAAATGGTTGTATGACAACCCCACCGTCTAGGTATCCAAGAGAAGTTGCCCCTAAATCACAATTTTTCCATGGTGGATGGTTTCTGCGGGTTGGTTCGATTCTGATCAATCCCCTTTAAACCAACCAGTCTCAGCATGCGAAAACCAACATGCGGGCCTCAAGGAGAGGGGAAGTTTTTGTATGGACTCACTGAGTAGCATTGAGGATATATACTATATATACTTTGATTCTGGCTAGACATGGACCGAGCTAGGTACGATTTGTGTTTGACAACTCATCCAACACAAAATGGAGTCTATGATATGAAAATATCTTAATAGGTGCAATACGTAACATGTTTTTGAGGAGCCACGGATTGGAAATCAAGTATCTAATCATTTAGCATCATTTATCTTTTTTTTGTAGTTGCTTTATATTCCTAACCAAACAATGGGTCTGTCGCTGGATGATTCTTTCCTGCAACAGCAGCTCACAGGGCTCGCCTGCAACATGAAGCCAAGAATTGGGATCAGAATACTGTACCTCAGCGGACGAACCAATCACTGTGGCTATTTTGCCTGCCGATTCCCCGGTTAGAAGTGGCTGTTGAGACCACATATAGGCACGCAGAATATGCAGAATTATATACACATACGTAGGTATTGGATCATATACAAACATGCATACATATAGCATATGGATCTATACATATGTATTATATATCTGTGGTCTCTTTTTTGTGTATACAGTACACCTTGGTACTACCAAAGCCACCTTCGTTTCAAAGTCTCCCCGGCCCTTGCGCGTCAAGGCGCTGCGCCGCGAAAAAGGATCCCACAAAGATCTGCCACAGCAGGGAGGGCACAAAAATCATGAAGACCTCGGTCGAGATCCAGTCATCCCCGAAACGTGAAAGGTGGGGATTTTCATGTTCCAACAACAGGGGGGTTGTTCCAACATGTGAGGAGGTTAATGGGGTTGGCGGTGTTTTTTGTCACTCCCAAAGAAGTCTTGTGGTTGTGGGTAATAATGAACCTCGGGGAGTTGAATAATCCGTATACTATGAGGAGGCGGCAAACGCGTTCGGGTGCTTTGATCGCCAAAAATGTTGAGTACACGCTCACCAACCAAAATCCATGAGTCAAGCAGGGACGCAGTCATGCCAGGTAGGGCATTCTAAAGCCCGGCCAGCAACAGATTGAGGCCAATGGCTCGGGCCCTGTGTTTTGCCACCGCTGCGCCCTCACACAGCTCAAGATAGCAGCAATCCATGCACTCTGTGGACACTTTTGGTCACCACCCGTCCGGAAACTCAGGATGCAAGGATCTAGCAACACACAATACACAAAGCAAAAAACGCATGGCTTGTTGGACATGGAATGCATGGCAAATCCAAAATTTAATGTGGGAGATTCGCATGAGCCCTTGCACCTGGAAAGAAGACTCAACCGGGTGGGTGCAGGATCTCTAGTTTCAACCTCCCAACGACCTGTGTCGTTGTCAAGGTGTGACCCATGCAGACGAGGTCAGTCAACTACATGCGCCCTCCAGGCGATGAGTTGAGCCAGTTCCGAGAGACTGACTCACGGAATCGGCAGGTCTTAGCGACACAAAATGGATGACATCCTAATGGCAAGAGAACTGTCCTCCAAGGAGGAAGCTTGAGAGTTCGCCATTAGGCGGTCGGATTGATTTCAAGGTCCTTGGGGGGGGGGTCCCCCCCCCCCCCTCCTTGACGTTTCAAGGTTCCTCGGGGGGGGGGTCCCCCGTGGCATGGAAAAACAGGGTCTATTTGGGCACGTCCCTGCGGCGGGCTTTTTCAGCCATGCTGACGATCAAAAACCTGCATAACATATTCATTGTAGGTAGACAAGATGATGAGCCAAAGTTTACTTGAAACAACCTTCCCTCTGTTTCACTTATTGTGAGTTTTTTTGTTTTTATCTCCTTCTTGTTTCCCGGGTAGAAAAGTTTCCCTCTAAACAAGTTTTGCAGACAAGCAACCTTTCTCGCGTACATGTCCTGCCTTGCTCTTTTAGGGACTACAGTATGAGGCAACGATTCTTACAAGTACCCTAGATGATGGGGCAAAGGCTACTTGAAACAACTTCCCCTCTTTTGCACTTTTTGTATCGCGCACCTCCTTTTTATTACTGGGCTGGAAGGGTTTGCTCTCTGCGCAAGGTTCGGCCGAGAATCAGTACTCAATTTCCTTTTTTCTCTTTTATGTTTCTTGTCTTGTTTTCAGTTGCTGTTGCTGGGGTGGAAATTCTTTTGAAGGGGACCGGGCCAGCTTCTCTCAACTGTGCCGTCTTTCCTTTGCATTCCTTTTCATGTCCTGGTTTGTTGTTGCTGGGGGTGGACAGGTTGCCCGCGTTACGGGCCATGAGGCAAAACTTCTTTGACCTAGCCACGCTCTAGACGATGGGGAAAAGGTTACTTGAAACAACGTTCCCTCTTTTGCACCTCTTGTCTATTGTATCTCCTTATTGTTTTTGAGGAAGAAATCATTATCTACTTGCTGTTGGTGGGCCAGCTTCTCAACTGTTCTCTTTGCTTTGTACTCCTCTTCTTGTGGTTGTTTGCTGTTTCTGAGGTGGACAGGTTGCTCTTTGAGGTTTTCACTTCCACCTTTCTTGTTTTGTTTGTTGTTGCTGTTGCTGGCGTGAAAGGGCTTTCGAAGGGGATGGGGTCAGCTTCTCTCAGCTCTGGCGTCTTTCTTTTGCATTCCTCCTCTTGTACTTGTTTGTTGTTGCTGGGGTTGACAGGTTGCCGTCTTTAGGGACAACTCTAGATGATGGGGCAAAGGTTACTTGAAACAACCTCACCTCTATTGCACCTCTTGTGTATCGTTACTCCTTTTTGTTTCTGGGGTGGAACGGTTTCTCTCTAAACAAGCTTTGGCCGATAATCAACTATCACCTTCTTCTTTCACGTTTACATTTGATGTCTTGTGATTCTTTACTTGCTGTTGCTGGGACAGTTTCTCAACTGGTGCCTTTGCATTGCAGTACTCTTCTTGTGGTTGTTTGTTGTTTCTGGGGTGGACAGGGTGCTCTCTTAGGGACTACAGTATGAGGCAACGCTTCTTACAAGTAGCCTAGATGATGGGGCCAAGGTTATTTGAAACAACTTACCGTCATTTTTGTATTTTTTCAGAAATTGTCAAAGAATTGTATATAGTTCCTTTCAATTACTGGGCTGGAAGGGTTTGCTCTCTACGCAAGGTTCGGCCGAGAATCAGACTCAATTTCCTTTTTTCTCTTTTATGTTTCTTGTCTTGTTTCCAGTTGCTGTTGCTGGGGTGGAAATTCTTTTGAAAGGGGCCAGCTTCTCTCAACTGTGTCGTCTTTCCTTTTCATTACTTTTCGTGTCCTGGCTTGTTGTTGCTGGGGGTGGACAGGTTGCCGTCGTTACGGGCCATGAGGCAAAACTTCTTTGACCTAGCCACGCTCTAGACGATGGGGAAAAGGTTACTTGAAACAACGTTCCCTCTTTTGCACCTCTTGTCTGTTGTATCTCCTTATTGTTTTTGAGGAAGAAATCATTATCTACTTGCTGTTGCTGGGCCAGCTTCTCAACTGTTCTCTTTGCCTTGTATTTCTTTTATTGTGGTTCTTTGCTGTTTCTGGGGTGGACAGGTTGCTCTTTGAGGTTTTCACTTCCACCTCTCTTGTCTTGTTTGTTGTTACTGTTGCTGGTGTGAAAGGGCTTTCGAAGGGGATGGGGTCAGCTTCTCTCAGCTATGTCGTCTTTCCTTTTCATTCCTCCTCTTGTACTTGTTTGTTGTTGCGGGGGTTGACAGGTTGCCGTCTTTAGGGACAACTCTAGATGATGGGGCAAAGGTTACTTGAAACAACCTCCCCTCTATTGCACCTCTTGTGTATCGTTACTCCTTTTTGTTTCTGCGGTGGAACGGTTTCTCTCTAAACATGCTTTGGCCCATAATCAACTATCACCTTCTTCTTCCACGTTTACATTTGATGTCTTGTGACTATCTACTTGCCGTTGCCAGGCCACCTTCTCAACTGCTGCCTTTGCTTTGCAGTCCTCTTCTTGTGGTTGTTTGTCCTTGTTTGTTGTTTCTGGGGTGGACTGGCTGCTCTTTTAGGGACTACAGTATGAGGCAACGCTTCTTCCAAGTAGCCTAGATGATGGGGCAAAAGTTGCTTCAAAAAAACTTACCGTCATTTTTGTATTTTTTCGGAAATTGTCAAAGAATTGTATATAGTTCCTTTCAATTACTGGGCTGGAAGGGTTTGCTCTCTGCGCAAGGTTCGGCCGAGAATCGGTACTCCAATTTCCTTTTTCTCTTTTATGTTTCTTGTCTTGTT